GAGAGAGTGTGTGTGTGTGTGTGTGTATGTGTGTGTGTGTGTTTGTGTGAGTGTTTGTGTGAGTGTTTGTGTGTGCGTGTGTGTGAGAGAGAGAGTGTGTGTGTGTGTTTGTTTGTGTGTGTGTGTGTAACAAACACAGAATAAGAATCAAACAGAGAGGTGAATAAAAAAACTGTGCAATTATACATATGAAACTATACCTTAGCAACACCTGGCAACCACTCATACATTACTGTGCTGTATTGTAATTGTAAAATACATATAGGCCTATATATATTGCAAAAACAATATATATATACTGTATATATACAGTATATATATGTAATTTACAATTAAAGTTTTTTCACCGGCTCATTAAACTGAATTGAAGAGCAGGTTCTGTCTGTGTGCTTATAAAAACATGCGCTGCTGGGGTTAAACTATTGCAGAAATGATATTCTTTCTGCTGGTGATATCTGTTATTTGTAACGTTACCAGAGCATAATAAACGCAGGTGTTGCATCAGAATGAAGGCAGTCGTGTAGAATGTGTGTTTGTGCGCAGATTGTCTTTGTTAGCTGGAGTCCCAGTGAAACTGCTCAGTAATTTTCCTTCATATTTCGCTGTTATCAGCTATTATCACCGCACACAGGTCACTCAACGCCCAGAAAACACACTTCGCTCCCATTCTCGCCTTCCGACAGCGTTTCCACCCGGATGCGCTCAGTGCTTCAGATGCAGGGTCGAGGGTTTGAATGTGAATCCGGAGAGAAAGAGAGTCCGAGGATCGAGAGCCAAACCCGAACAAAGGCGCAAGATCCGCTCGAACAACGAGCAGAGAAACACTTCAATAAACCCTCGCATAAATCATCTGTTGACTAATAAATAACAGCTCGGACGCACACACAGCCGCCCAGCAGGTGGATCCTCCGGACGGACGTGTAACCCGTTTCTATATAACACTGGAGATATAATCAGATCTCAAGCATATGCAGAAGAAAAGCCCCGTTTACCTGCGCGAAGCTGCGGCTGAAGTCGTTCGGGAGACTCGAGCATCATGTTCCGTGATCAGGCAGAATCCTCCATTTCCAGAAGCCTCCGGAGACTCTTGCGCTCGTTGATGTCATCGACGCTCTCCTCCTCCTCCTCCTCCTCCTCCTCTTCCTCTCAGAGATTCACAGTCCGGCTCCTCCAGAAACAATGAAGCGACAGATTTAGTTGAAATGAGTGTTGATCACCTCCTGAAGAACAATACTTCGTAACAGGGACATGCAGACATTTTGAGGCTCTCTCTCTCTCTCTCTCTCTCTCTCTCTCTCTCTCTCTCTCTCTCTCTCTGGTTTTAATGGCGGGTCACAACCAGCTTGTTCCGGTGCATACCGCCACCTACTGCACCGGGGTGTGCAGCTTCTTCTTCTTCTTCTTCTTGTACGATTTAATGGCGGTAGACAAGTCAACTTATGGTGTATTACCGCCACCAACTGGACTGGAGTGTGAAGCATTAACGGGAAAGAGGCAAAAGAGGGAGAAAGGAAGGAAAAAAGGAAAAAAGTAGTATTAATATGAAATTTAAATTCTACTTTCTAATCCTGTTATCTTCAGATAACTAAGAATTTCTCTCACAATACTTGTCTGTCCTGAGGCACAATTTAAAAGATTTGATATAGTGAAATTAATTACTCTTATGTTTCTCAGTTTCTTAACTCCTCTCTTTCTTTGGTATATACTGCACAATGTAGAAATACAGGGACATGCACAGACATTTTGAGGGGCAGGGGCTGAAGTGGAAAAAAGGGCATTTATATTTATTTACATTTTTTTCTAAACAAAACGTTAAATATATTAGAGATGTGCAATATTGTATATATCTCAATATTTTCCGGGATTTGATCGATAACAATAATTAGATGATATTGTGCTGAGTGTGTTATTGTGCTGATATCTTAAGGACTGCCGTGGACAGCTGACTCCTAAAGTGTTTGATATTCTTCATATTCTGTGTGCTGGTCAGTTCACAGCAGTGATAGAAATGAATCTTTCCCAATAAGTTTAAATCGATTTTTACCTTTTATGGGCATTTTTACCTTTATAAAGCCATTTTTCTAAAAGTGTGCATCATCATCTTTTCAGTTAAACTCTTAAATTGAATCAGTCAATTAGAATAATAATCATTTGGGCTGTTACCAAGCAAAATAAATCAGTATTGACAAACTGAATCTTTGCAGTGCAGAGGAAACACAGAAGCTGCGTCTGAAGAGGCGTTTAGATGCATTTACACACTGTTTAATGCAGGACATGAATGTATTTAACCTGCAGTTACACATGCATTAATACTGTTTCGATATTTTAAACATAAAACGTTGAATACTGATATTTGAAATTATTTAAGAAAATGCAAAGATACTTTAAATGTGAAATTAAAACCGCCAGTAGGTGGCAGCAAGTCACTGTTAATAAGTGAGTCACTGCGACTGAACCGAATCATTTAAACGGTTGATTCATTCAGGAACCAAACACCGTCCTGTTGCTCATAGACGCAAATTGAAATTATATTTGTTGGCGAAATAGAGCAAAAACAGTCAATATTGTGTCAAAACGTAAGTGTCTTAATACTAATTTCTTGTTCTTAAGTGTCTTAATACTAAAATCAATATCACATTTGTAATCATGCTGCTTTTTGGTGGAAAAAACGTCAGTCTTCGCGTGATACTGATTAACTATATGAAATGATATAAATATATAAATTTCTGCCCCCATATGTTGAATTTTGTGATCATTCTAAATGCATTTGAATAAACTGAATCATGCAGTGAAAGAACCTGCACTGCTCTAACCTACTAACATACACAGTAACTCTCTCATGAGTCATGGATGTTAGCAAGACAAATGAACTATAATTGCCTTTTGTCTTTGGATAATTAGCTGTAAATTCGAGGCACAGGTAGCTCAGTCAGTTGTTCATCAACACTCACCTCCACAGCTGGGAAGAGAGGAGGGCTTCACTTCTGTGCTGCGCATGCGCCGATCAGTGCTGCTACTGCTGAGCAGCGCGAGACACGGAGGGAGAAAGCCTCAACATTCCCGACCCCAGCTGATATTCAGATGTTTTATTTGTTTGACAGGGAAAGCTGTGACACACACGCGCACATATATAGATGTATTCATTTATTTAAAACAAACCAAAAAAACAACAACACTCCCCAGAAAAAAGGGCACTTTGATGTCCATGTGAGCACGTGCCTGATTCGTTACATTTATAGCTTAATCAGGTGAACAACTGACAAACACCAGCCCGATAATGTATTTCAACACATTGCCTGCTCAAAAAGTTTAAAACATGGAAATAAATGTAATGAAAGTTTTCACTCAGAAACACATTTAACTGAACATGAAAATTTGAAGAAAGACTGAACTTGTATTGTCCTGTAAAACATACTCCAAACAAAACTTTTAAAAATATAGTTTTCCTCTGTGTTCTGGTGCATGACGTTATGTTTTATGTTGGAAAAACGTTGTCTCCGAGGGTTTAGTGTCGGGACGGGTCTCCGGGAGTCTCGCGCCCTCCAGCGCCCACGCTCCAGATCAGACTATAATGCAGCTGTAGGTGATGTACATTTACATTTACTTCTAATCATTTAGCAGACGCTTTTATCCAAAGAGACTTACAAGAGAGCGACAGCATACAAGTGATGTGACTAGTCTCAGTTAGTCTAGCACAGTACACACAGCAAGGATTTTTAGTTTTTTAATTTTTAAATAAGAGTGAACAGAACAGAACAGAATAGATAAGTGCTTGTATTAATTGTCGAGGTGCTGGCGAGAAAGACGTGTCTTTAGATGTTTGTAGTAAATGGCTAAAGACTCAGCTGCTGGCATTGAGACAGCTGGGCACTAACCAGTCATCTCTAACCCTAACCACTTCACATAAATAGTTAACTGGAGATCACTTCAGGATTTATGAGTATTCATATTTATATTAAATACTTAATTCAAAATTTATCTCAATTATGTGTCATTAGTAACCCCTTGAAATAATTATTATTTTTTGAAATTTTGATGGAAAAGTGTGTTTTATGGTTAGTCACAATCGTATACTGAATATATAAATACTGAACTTGCTAGTACATTTCTTGAGATTTCCAGCAAATTGCACAAATAATTACAATGAAATGGCAAGAAGTAGAACGACTGAAATAGTATTTTATTGTCAAATGTACAATAATCTTTGTTTACTTACTTTAAAAACATTTTTTACAGTGCATGAGGAACATCCCAACCTTCCAGCTGAAGACATTGCGAAGATACAAGACGTGTTTTCACCCAGACACTGACTACATCAGACCAGATCTCCGAGACTTTATCAGAGTTTGAGATCGAGCAGTTCTGCAAAGAATGAGAGAAAGCCATCAGACGGAGCTCATGGAGGATCTAACCCACACTGACTGAAGGGTGTGAATACATGCTTAACATTAAGAGCTTTGAGTAACACAAAACAAGCGTGAGAATAGCTCACGTTTCAGTTCTTTCCAACATCAGCATCTTTCAGCATCCCTCTGTTGCACAGCAGCGCATTTATTAATGGCACGAGCATATGAAACCATACAGAGCATTTAATTTAATGTCAATCAAGCCATTAGCATTCATCTGTTCTGATGTGATGCTGAAGTGTGTATGTGTTTGAACAGACGAGAGGATCTCTGACCCGAGAGCCAAGGGTTTGATTACACGCACCTCAGGACCCTAAACACAGGCCACACGGATGATCAGGACACGCTATTTATATCTGCTCGCCTGAAGATCAGGTTTCTGTCGTATATGACTCCACATCCAGCTCTGCAGGAGAAGAGAGCACACACGCAATACAAGACGGAAAATACATGATGTTCTTGTGAATAAAGCACAGATTATTAAATACAGTAGGGTTAAACTGGTGACATGTGACCGAAACACTGCATGTGTACATTTGACACGATTCTGTCAACAAGCAGAGAATAAACACATCCAGAACGATTTCACTGCTGCTCAAATCAGCCATTAAACACTCGTTCAACAGCGTCCCGATGAGACACTAACCTCTGATCCGGTGTCTCAGCCGTGAGAAAGAAACACCATGCTTCATATTTCACCCCATTCACGATTTATGATCAGCCTTAGCACTGTAATGCAGTCATGACAATCCTCCTGTTCAGCTCATTTTTAAAATTAAAATCAACAAACGCTAGCATGACGTATACTTCCAATTATACTTGACAAATGTAATTTGCAATTGAAAGAATGTTTTTGCTGTAGATACAGGAGATGATGAGCTGTGATCGTCACAATAACAGCAGAAATATTTCTTAAATTCCACTTTCTTTAGTTTCTTGGTTTTGGGGTGAAATGTGTTTCTTATGAAGGTGTTTTCATGAGACAAATGCACACAACCACATCAACTGTAGATCACCGTAACATGAAAATCACAAGACCTACACCAGATACCCAAATTATAATAAACACGCAGACATTTACGGCACATGTGAAGCAGCAGCACAGAAATAACCCGAGATATATACTAAAGCTATCTGAAGCATGTTAAAGTATGAAGCTGTCTAAAGGAGAAACCGGTTCAGTGATGCACATCTGCGATCATCCCCACCTGCAAATAAAGTCCACAATCAATGGATTCAGATTCAGTCAGTCGTTACTGAGACCAGCAAACACCAGACAGATGGACACTTGAGTTTTATTCAGGCATCACCGTACATGTCTTAAATTAACCAAATCAGCTGTAGTTTCTCTGGATTTAGAGGTTAAACAAAGTGTTAAGGTTTTCAAAGTGCTTTCACTGAGTGTGTTTACAATGACAGACCAGACAACAGAAAAATATCTCAAAAATCATTCCAGCATCAAATCTTACCCAGAACAATAAACTTAAAGGCAATTAGAATAAGACTTCAATGCATATGAAGCTTTTCACGTAACCCCTGCAAAGAAGAAAAAACACAAAAACAGCCCGGGTTGCCAAATCTGTCACTCCAAATCCCCCTCAGTTCATAAACTGCATAGATATCAATGTAAGGCTGTTCTCATACGGGGGATAAAGTGCCACATTATATATATATTACAGTCAATCCCCAAAGAGCCAGTCGTTCAGTAAAAACACCGCCGCACACATTCACAGCCACAGCGTGAGAAAGATGATCAAGGCTAGCGTTTGGCACCATGAGTCCTTCAGCATCATAAACGAGAA